CTGGAGTGCTTTGCCTGTTAAAAGATGACTCACCAGAATATGAGCTAAGTAGCTCAGGGTAATTTTAATCATTGAAGGTTTGAGAGTAGGGTACATATCTTGCTGTTATTTCCTTGACCACATTTCCTTTACACCTTGCACTTTCTTTCTACTCCCAAATACTGTAGAGCCACAAATGCCTGAATAGATTGTGTGGTCTCTCAAAGACATTTTTTTACATTTACATTTTATTGTCATTTTGGGATGTGGTTAGATACTAGTTGGGATTGGTTTTCAGCAAAGGTGGAATCAATCACGAGGGATATTAGAACGTAGATTACCCCCAAATGGCAACTATCTGATGTCACACATATGCTAATCAGCTAGTAATCTGTCACTCTGAAAAACAAAGTACGAGAAATGAGGGAAAGAGGTAAGATTGGGACATTATCAAGTGGGCACTGAAATCTATTTTCATACCATCTGTGGAGCCTTGAACCACAGCTGTATAAGCTATGAAAGTCAGGCAGAAATTGGAATGCAAGATAGATATCTGGTGCGGGGTAGAATTACAGAAATAAGGAAATGTGTAAATGACTTTCACTTTCTGATTTATCCACATACACTCCTTTGAGTCTATTCTATCTAGTGACAAAGACTGGATAAATCTAAAAGGCAGTGAGTATCAGCTTTTCCTTACTGTAGCAAAATGCCAGAGGTAATCCACTTACAAGGAAATACAAGAGAAAGGCTTAGTTTAGCTTACAGTTATGGAGGATTTAGTCCATGCTTGGTTGGCCCTACTGCTTTGTGTCTGAAGAGGCAGGGTATCATGATTGAAGGATATGTCAGAGAAAAACTGCTTACCTCTGGCTAGGAAGCAATAAGAAGCTAGGGAGATAGGGAGGGAGGTTGTAATACCCACAAGACTGCTTACTAGGGTAATTTCTTAAAGTGTATATCACCTCTTAGTTGTGCCAATAGGGTGGGAACCAAACCTTTGACACATGGTCTTTTGGTGTTTCAAGAGCAGAAGGGTGAAGGAGAGAGGCGTCCCTCCCACGTTCCTGTTCCAGAAACCCTTGTCAGAATCACTCATGTCTTAGCATGTCAGCAGTCAGGCCTTTAGCAAGTTCAGATTTCAGTGCAATCTGCATGGGGTCCCTACTTCAGGCTCTAACTGGGAAAGGAAGGGGCAACCCCAGACTGCCCGCAAGGTCTCAGGGGACAGTTCTGATTCTTTCCCTATGGCTTATTTCTTATTATAACACATAATTTCTTTAGAATTCAGGAATGTGTCTCCTGATAGTGTTTCTCCAGTTAGTAGTATTTCATCCATTTTTGTTTTTGAAGAGCTATTGCCAGTCAGCCATGTAAGCTACTTAGTTCACCACTGCATTCCCAAATGCTAGAATGGTGCTCCAAACTTAGTATCTATCAGTGGAATGTACAGTATGATAACTCAGTCATAGTGTTATAAATACACTCTCCAAGAACTAGTGGAGTCACAACAATAGATACCAAAATAAAGAAGTGTCAGCAAGGCAAAATTTACTTCTGCAAAAGGGTGCGCCATTAGTCATGAATCTGTTAAGCAAGCACACAGAGCAAGCAGGCTGCTCCCCTATTTATCATCTCTGAACTCAGCAGTCCCCACCCCTCTGCTCAGATTGGGTGAGCTTTATCCCAATGGCAGTAGGCTCTGCCCCTCTACTCATATTGGTTGAACTCAGGTTCACAATCTGCTCATGATTGGCTGACTTGAATAGGGTAAAATCTATTTGCATAAGATGACTTTGAAATAACAACTGCAGTATACAAGTAATCTCAAAATATTCCTGCATTCTCTCTATTTCTTGAACAGTCTGAGGTCTGTCTTAATTCCATCTTGAAAAGAACCAGTTTAAGACAAAATCTTATATTTCAAAAATCATTCCTGTTCTCAAAGCAGTTCTTTTCCTTAGCAAGAGTCAAGCCACCAGGCCAAAGCAGAAACTTTCAAGCCTCACACTTTGATTTAAAAACAAAACAAGCCAAATCAAAAACAGTTTTTTCTCACAATAGGCAAGATAGCTGTCGGTGTAAGTTGCCAGAGTAGTAGTTGATGTTTTATAATATAAACCAAGAGAATGCATGGTGCTGGTGGCTCATGCCTGTGTAATTTCTAGTTACTCAAGAGGCTGAAATCTGAGAATCAATTCAAAGATAGCCCAGGCAGGAAATTTTAACCACCAAAAAAACAGAAGTAGAAGTGTGGCTAGTGCTCAGGCCTTGATTTCAAGCCCCAGTATTGATGCAAAATCAGTCAAGACAGTGTTACTGGGTCCTATCTGTACTGAATGGTCAGATCTGATTCCTTTTAAGATTGATCAGTGGAATTTGTTGATATTTACCTTTTTTTTTTGTCAGTAGTGGGGCTTGAACTCTGGGCTTGGGTGCTGTCCTTGTGCTCTTCAGCTCAAGGCAAGAGCTCTACCGCTTGAGCCACAGTGCCACTTCTGGTTTTCCAGTGGTTTATTGGAGATAAAAGTTTCATGGACTTTCCTGCCCAGGCTGGTTTTGAACCGTGGTCCTCAGATCTCCGCCTCCTGAGTAGTTATGATTACAGGGTGAGCCACCGGCAACCAGCTGATATTTACCATTTCTTTATGCACTTTGCTTGGCATGTGCTGTGTGTCTGCTGTGCTCGCGTGGTTACACTCTCACAGTTCCCTTTGCTCCTGGGAGCTACAAAAAGATCATGTTAAAATGCTGCTTTCCATATTGATAAAGAAATGGGAATGAATTATTTAAGTATAAGGTGTGGCATCATCATTATTCTGTGTTTAACAATGGAATGTTCAAATGTGGAAAATGTGAGCAAGTGGGTTGGAACATTCTTGATCCTAATGAATCCATTTACCCTACATTTCAATCCCATTCATCCTGGGCCCACCTAGGGAAATCTCTGCACCCAGGCCACTTGATGAGCACCTTCCTTCTCTCTGCAGTCAAACATAGTGACAGGATGTAGGCATCTCTGGGGCCATCGTCATGACTGTCAGTCACACAGATTGAGGAATACAGACTCTCTCCAGTTTCCCTTCTAAACATTCCTTTACTTACCCTGTCTATGTTTTGTAAATTTGTTCTCCAAACAACAGTTTATTGCCAAAGCCAATCCTGGGTCTTCTGCTACTTTTGGTTCTACCAACCACAGAGATTGGCATGTGAATGCCCGTAAGGCACCTACCTGGCCAGTCTCCCTGTGGATTCTTTTTTCCCCTGTAGTGTTCTCACAGCACAAGAAGTAGCAGTATGTTGATAATTAGGGACATTTGAGTATGAACTTTACTAGGGCTTGACCTAAAGGCCTGGTGGCTTAGCTTTTTTGCTCAAGGCTGATTTGAACCACAGCTCTACTTTCCAGCTTTTTAGTGGCTAATTGGAGATAGGAATCTCGTGGACTTTCTTTCCTGGGCTGGCTTAGAATTGATTCCTAGATCTCAGCCTCTTGAGTAGCTAGGATTTACAGCCATGAGTCACCAGCACCCAGTGTGAACCATATTTAGATACTACTGAATTAAAGCTTGGTTTCTTTGGTGTGATAATGACATTACAGTTATGCAGAATGGTGTCATTCTTAGGAATATTTATTTAGATACTTAGAGGTCAAACCAGCTGGAGCTCACTCATCACATGGTTCCTATGGAAGACATTATTCTCTCCCCCCCTCCTCTCAGGTTTTTTGTTTGTTTGTTTGTATAAGTCTGCCATTTGGCTTTTTCACTCAAGGCTAAGTGTTCTACCGTTTGAGCCATACTTCCATTTCTAGATTTTTTTTAAACTGGTTAACAGAAGACAGCTCTCAGTTTTCTGCCCAGACTGGCTTTGAACTGCCATCTCAGCTTCCTGAGTAGCCAAGGGAAAAGTACTTTCTTTCTTTTTTTTTTTTTGGGTCCGGTTGTGGGGCCTGAACTCTGGGCCTGGGTGCTGTCCCTCAGCTCTTCAGCTCAAGGCTAGCACTCTACCACTTGAGCCACAGTGCCACTTCCGGCTTTTTTCTTTTTGCTTATGTGGTGCTGGGGAATCGAACCCAGGGCCTCATGCATTGCAAGGCAAGCGCTCTACCACTGAACCACCTTCCCAGCCCATGGGGAAAAGTACTTTCTAAAGAAAGAAAAAGCAAAACGTGGCAAGATGTTAAATACTTATGAAAGTTTCATTTATATAGGTTTGGGCATTTTCAGAGTTGAAAGTGGGAAGGAAAGAAATACCAGTGTAGAACAGATGTACAGAAGGTGTTGGTCTTTGTTGCACTTACTCACTCTGGCTGGGATTAGCAGTCATTATATGCATTCTTGGCTGCATGCCAATCCCCTGTGAGGTCACACTAGGTGCAGATCACACATGCTCAGGCAGCTTCGTGGAAGCTGTGAGCACCGGTAAATGGCAATACAGAGCAAAGGTGGCTTAGGAAAAGCATGTCTTCGGGCTGCATCCGCACCAGACACTTCTAGGCCTTGGCCACCTCCAAATCCATTCATTGCTTGTAGGACTGCCCAGCCTCAGTTCCTGTGTTTAATCATTATGCTGTGGTATTGCAGGCAGGTGGAACCTCTGTGCCACTTGGTTAACTAGTTCATAATGGAGAGCTCCATTGCTGTTGGCCAGTCATGTGAGCTGGAGTTTGACAGAAGAAACCAGCCAGGATTTTCTGTCTCAACTCTGCAGGCCTGGCTTCTCAATTCTCATGGAGTATGGGCTCCTCTAAGGTCCCTAGCTGGACCTGCAGTTTGTAGTAATTGTATGACACACACATTATTTTTGAAATGGGAGACCACATATCTATGTGAAGTGGTGGGATCTGGTTGGGAAGTCATCTGGTCTAGTTTCCCATCTTCTCCCTCAAGTCCCCATGACACACCACATGTCTGGTTCTTTGTTGACCTTCTTGCCTCCTCCTTGCATTCTCTACCAGCCAGTCTCGTAGGGTCTGGGGCCCAAACAATAATGTCTGACAGCATTTCTTTGCCTTCCAGGAGCTTGAAGCCCCATAGGAACCTCCAGAGAAATCTTGGCTGAGACCCCAGATCCTCGTTGAGAAAGTTGAGTCCACAGGGTCTATTTCAGGTACAGTCCACTCTTTATCACCTCAGCAGATCAGTGTTAGAATGTTATTCATTTCAACCTGACTTGACTGACAACTTCACCCTAAGTCCCTCTCTTTCTCCCTTCCCTCCCCCACTTCCTTTTTTTCCTGTCTCTCCCCATACTTTTCTCCTTCCTTTCTTCCTTCTCCTCCTCTGTTTCTGTGATGTTAGGGATGGAACTTAGGGCCCTTCTAAGCATGCTAAATACTCCAGCTCCTCCAGCTGGATCACACTTCCAATGTTTCCTCTGTGTGTGTGAGAGAGAGAGCACAAGAGAGAGCGAGCACATGCGTGCATCTGGGGGCCTCAGCTTTTTTACTTGAGGCTGGTGCTCTACCACTTGAACTACAGCTCTACCTCCAGCTTTTGCGTGATTAATTGGACATAAGAATCCTATGGACTTTGCTGCCTAGGCCGGCTTTGAATCGCAATCCTCTGATCTCAGTCTACTGAGTAACTAGGATTACAGACATGAGCTTCTGGCACCTAGTATCCTGTCTTTAAAATTTCTAGGCTGTTACTTTTCAGACCTCTGAGCTGTTCAGTTTTTCAGTTATGATCCCAACAGAAACATAAGGCTTTCTTTCTCTTCAGTGTTTCTCCCCTTCTTTTCCTGTGGAGATACCTGGACAGTGCCATGTCACTCTGTCCTTCTGGCTCCTCTTCAAGGCTAGATGGCAGGAATGCTTTAGCTGAGCTTGCCCCTTTGACTCCTGGAGCCTTGTATTTCTCAGTCAAGGCCCAGTTACAACCTCCTTCCTGCTAAATGACTTTCTCCATCTTGCTCCTGTTTCTAACACTTCTTACTGCAACTTCAGTTTGTTTTATTTAAAATGTTTACAGTAGCTTGTCTGGGGTCGGGAGGGGGTCTCAGGCTTCATTGATCTGCTGTGGTCTGTTCCATAGGGCCTGAGAGGTTGAGGCAGAGTATAGTGTAGAGAGAGGTCAAGGCTGCCCAAGGATGCTAGACCTCTCCTTCCTGCTCCCCTACTTCTAAATAAAAATAACTTCTGGTTTTATGTTTTTATCTTGTGCTTTTTTTTTGGTGGGGGGTTATCTGCTGTTTCTCAGGCTTGAACTTAGATCCTGGGTGTTGTCCCTGAACTTTTTTTTTTTTTGCTCAAGGATAGCACTCTACCACTTGCCACTACTCTACTTTTGACTTTTTTGGTGGTTAATTAAAGATAAGAGTATCACAGACTTTCCTACTTGGGCTGGCTTTGAACTGTGATCCTCATCTCTTAGCCTAGCAAGGATTACAGGTGTGAGCCAGTGGCATCCAGCTTTTATCAGGTTCCTTTTTTCTGTGGAGGTGGAGAGAAAGGGGTAGTACTGATAGAGTTTGAGCTCAGGGCATTGGCTGCTGTCCTTTAGCCCTATTCTAGTACTCTACCACTTGAGCCACTTGAGCTCTTCTGCTTTTGGCTGGTTAGAGATTGTCTAGGCTGGCTTTGAACTTTGCTTTTGGAACTTTGAACCTGAGTTGATTGGAATTCAGGTGTGAGCCACTGGCACCCAGCTTCAATCCAGTTTTATGTTCTGCATGATCAAGTATGTTAGATGAGTCTCTGGAAATTAATGATGCAGGTAACAAATCCATCCCTTCTTGATTTCTTGCTGGTAATTTCTGGTGTCTGGCTGTTTTTTTTTTTTTAATGTTCAGATAATTGTACAAAAAGGTTTCAATTTAATATGTCCATTTATGTGTATTAAGCATCTTTTATTTGGTTTGGGGGTTCAGTATAGGACATAGAAGGGTTCTAGGGCTGGGAAGGTGGCTCAGTGGTAGAGCGCTTGCCTTGCATGCATGAGGCCCTGGGTTCAATTCCTCAGAACCACATAAGCAAAAAGAAAAAAGCCAGAAGTGGTGCTGTGGCTCAAGTGGTAGAGTGCTAGCCTTGAGCTGAAGAGCTGAGGGACAGCACCCAGGCCCAGAATTGAGGCCCCGTGACCAGGCCCCCCCCCCAAAAAAAAAAAAAAAAGAGAAGGGTTTTACTGTAAAAAAAAATTTAAAACCTTTTTGCTATTGTTATTTGCCATTGAACTAAAATGGTTTAGTGAACATGGAAAAACCTCATTATTGTCAAAATTCTATTCATCACATAATATGGTGGTAACTTTTTTTTCACTTTGGAGAGAGAGGACACTCAGGCTGGTGAGGAGAAGGCCAGAGAGAGTGAGAGAAACAAGCCTCATTGCTTAGGTATTTTTAGAGTCATGGCCAGTTGTATTCTTAATTGTCTGTAGCTATATTAAGAGTACACATATAATTGGGATCAGGAACTCACATCCAGATCTTAATCGGAGGTATTTGTTGGGGATATAGCCAGTCACCTGTGCCATGCAAGCAACTTTAAACAGGCTGCCCTAGAGTGGGAATTAAGAGGGAAAGCGGCAGGGCGCCTCCCCCGCACCCCACTTCTCCCATAAGCTCTGAGTTCCGGGGGAAGGATTAAACTATAAGTAGGTTCCTTGTTTGTGAGGATGTTGAAACCTTGTCAGTGGCAGAGACAAAGCTGCAGAACTGCCAGGTGCACTTTTCTGAAGACCATAGGTAAAATTAGATCCCTGTCAGCCAAAAGGAGGAAGAGAAAGGAGGCGGAAGCTCTTCATAGGCCAGCTGTCTTCATGGCTGGGCCATGCCAACAAGCCTCCAAGATCCCATTCTTTCCTTCTCGATGCTTATTTAGTGAAATTGCTTAAATTAGGGTGGATTCATTGATTCTGCCTGTTTCCTTCTGCAGTACCTAGTCAGATGTGTCTGTGTTGTCTTCACAGACTCTTTGAGAGCATCTACCTTGTTACCTAAGATGGGTACTGAGTGTTGACATCCAAAGGAAAAGCCTGACTTGGATGCTCCTGTTATTCCGGATTGGGCAGTGTAGGAAAGCCCGATAGTCTTCAGGCCCAGCCTGCAAACCTTGTCTGAATGGGGAGCTCACAGCCAGAATCATGGGGAATTCACTGCCTTGACTTTCTTCACTTCATGGAAGAAGAGATCCAGACCAGTTGGCAGGCATAGCATGGACAGTGCATCTCCAAGTGGTCACACTTGTTGTTTCCTGGTGCTCTCTGAATACCTAGAAGGAGGGAAAGGCACACAGTAGGTATACCATATTTGTTGTGGAGATAGTTGTTAATAGTTGTTTACTTTCTCTTTCTGCACTAGATGGTGGGCACTGAGAGACAGGTACATCCTCATTATCTTCTGTAGCTCCTCTAAGTCCTATCACTATGTGGCCCCAGTTAGATAATTTTTTAGAAAATGAAATAACAACTACTTGATATATGCCATTTTTTTCCAACAAGGAGACAATTATTTTCCAATTATTCAGCCTTAACCAACAAAAGACAGTTTCAAGAGGTGTTGGTTTTACTCCGTAAGGGACTTAAAGAGAGAAAAGAATGCAAACTCACATTTTATGTATGAGTATATAAACCATGAGTCTTTCATTGCTGGAGCTTAAAACCACTCATCTATTTTCTCCCAGTTTCTTTGGATCAAGGAGTCAGATCATGTCTATGGTCCTGGGCTTAAGGTTCACAAGTGTTCAGTCAGGTTGCTAAACAGGGCTCAGGTCTCAGCTGTATGCTTTCTTAGCTGTTAGCCATGTTCATTTCTTCAGTTTGGGACTTGACTGCCCTGGAGTCTGCCTCAGTGCCCAGAGGAATTCTTCTCACATTTTCCCAGGGTAAGGACCCCCTTACTTCACCAAGCCAGGAAGGAGGCTCTCCTAGCAAGGTGGAACCTTTTATAACTGACCTATCTCGAGAAATGACATTCTACCACTTGTGCACATTCTCTAGGTATGAAGCAAGCTATTTGCTCTAGAATTAGAAAGAAAGCTCTAAACTCTAGGCATTGTAGGCTGTTCAGTTCATCTGTGGCTCTACTTGAGCCTGTGGTATCTTCTGGTCTTGGATCATTCATTTAATCAAGGCTTCTAATCTTTGAAGACCCTGGTATAATTGGGTCATTTAGTTCCTGTGCCTTGAAAGAATTTAAGGAAATTGAATCACATTCTTTTCCCTATTTGAAGATACTCTGTTACTGTGTTCCAGGACAACTCCCTCCAACCTCATGGCTGGGAAAATACAGCATGTAGTTGAGGACTAAAGACATGTTGCATCAAAAGATATGCTGTTTCTTTCAGATGACAAGTGTTTCCTCTGCAGTGAGAGTCTGAGATTTTGCCCACCCTCAAAGTATGGTTGTTAATAGGACAGGAAGATCTATCATAAAATGTGGCATTTCCTGCATAGGGATTATTTGTGCATGACCTGTACTGTGTAGATAATTGCCATGGTAACCAGGCCATGTTGTATGTACCTCAGCTCTGAAGGGGAAAAAAAACAGGATCAGGAATAAATGGCAGGTAAATATAAAAGGTTATGGCATTTGCATGTGTAAAGGTGCTTTATCAGTCTGATTAAAAATATCATAGTCTTTAACTCCAATTTCCTGCATGGGGAATAGGAGATGGTTCTTTTTTTTTGTTTCTATTCCTCCTTACTTTATTCTGTTACACTAAAATAAATCTTTGCTAAAACCTATATATCTGTAATGATCAAAGACAGCTATATTGATTGCTATCAAAAGGGAGAGATGGTTAAACTAGTGGAGCATGTGCTTCGTCTCCCAGGCAGGCCACACCCTGTTAGAAAGTTAAGAGTTAAGAAAAAAAAAAACTCACTCAATGCAAAAAAAACCAACCCAACCAAACAAAAACAACACTCTTCACACTTATATAATCCTAGCCACTCAGGAGGCTGAGAGCTAAGGATAATGGTTCAGTGACAGCCTAGGAAAGCCAAATCCAAGAGACTTATAACAGGTGACATTGATCAAGCTGCACTGTAGTTGTTACAACTTGACTCATGGAATTGAAATCCCTTGTAATGAAATAACTTTATGCTGGTTCTGGGGCTTGAATTCAAGGCCTGGGTGTTGTCCGTGAGCTTTTGTGCTTAAGGCTAGTG